GCCTTCGAACTTGAACTTGTCATGACGTTCATAGCTGATCTTGACCAAATGGTAGAGCGCGAATTGCTGCTCTTCGAAGATGGCAGAGCGCAGAGCCATCAGACAACGAATGTAGATATTGGGTCCTTCGAATCCAACTGAATACAAATTAGCGGCTTGGTACACATTGTCTAGAGAATTAGGCTGTCTTTACCTCCAGGATAGGGTCCACTACGGCGAGGAGGCTCTAAAAGGGAGCGTGCTACATGTCGGCGGCGAGCAAACTCGGCTGGATTGTTGCTTGGTGTATCAACAGGGCGTATGGGGAGAACGTGCTGTTGGTTCGGTGGCTGAAGCGAGCGCGGAAGGTATGATTCAACTGATGCCGACGTGCTGTCTGGGTTGGGCGGATTGTAGCTGCCGCTAGGTCCACGCGGTGGAGCTCTTGGTTGGTGAGGAAGAGGCACGGGAGTGTGCTGAACTTGTTGCGGTGTTCCATGATGACTGCCTGAATGGCCGCCTGGGGTAGGAGTGTTGAGATGGCTCGGCTGTTGACCAGAGACGTGACGAGTCGGCCTAGCAGGACCTGTATCGGGTTGAAAGATGACTCTCTGGGGGGGTGCCTCGCGCAGGCCACGAGAAGCTCTCACGCTGGATGTTGGCGCCGCATCTGGAGTCGGGCGCTCTCGCGTAGGGGTGCCATCATCGCCAGAAGCCGCAGCAGAGTCAGCAGCCGTGCCACTGTCGCGCTTCGCTCCACGGAAGTTCTCTCTGGTTCGAGATAAAAGGCCACCACCCTTAGCAGAGACATCCTCCAGAATGTCCTTTGGAGGAGGTTCCTTGCCGTGGAAGAATTTAATCTCGTAGGCAGCAAGGTTTTTGTAGTACTTCTCCTTCAACGAGAAGGCAGTTGAGGCAACGTTGGACGAGTGGATGCCGAGCTGCTCCGCCATCCGACGCCAGGCCAACTTCTCATCAGACACCTTATCATAGCCACCGTTCGCACAGATGTGGGTGAAAGTCTTGTAGAGGTCGAGATATACCGGTCCGACCTTGGGCTCGGCCTCTAGAGCAGTGCCCCGCTCCTGGTGGTAGGCCTTCAGCTTGGCCATGAATTCCTCATACTCGGGGGTTCGGCTGATAGCATGAAGCTCAACCTCAGCTTCTTTGGGGGCCATGATGGGTCGGTCGATCGAGCAGGCTGCTGTTCCCCTGTTAGTGGACGCGCAAATGGGATTGTACGTTCGGTGAAGACAAACTGACGGACAGCCTGCGAGTAAAGCCGGGTTTACTTGTTCGAGATCGTAGCCCGGTGTGAGGCTCGCAGACGAGCTTCGAGTCCTTCTACAGGACCAAAGTTGTTGGAAAAGGTTGCGCGAGATGTTGCGACAAGAACTGCCTGAATCTGTGTGTTGTAGAACGCGTTGTCGACTCCCAATGGAAGAGGGTGGGGATGAAGTGTGCTCCTGCGCAAGTTCAGGGCCCTCTGCGATCGGTAGTGATGCGCCGGGACAACCAACCAACCGTGTTTTGCCTTTACGCGACGTTGAGAAATCCCTAGCCACCTCTGGGCTTATCTTCACGTGACTGCGAGCTCTATCCGATGGTCCCTGCGCTAAGGGCACCACTTAAATCCCAATTCGGACTGGTTCCACATGAGCTGCACCTTCTATCTGCACGTCGTGGCATGGGTGAAGAGAAGCCAGACCCCTGCCCAGACTGTCACTTGCCTACTCTCTAGAGTCAGGGTCCCTTCCTAATCGTACCTCAGGGCAACAACCATTCAACCTCACTTGGCCTGTGACTCTGTCCAGCCCACCCTTCAATCCTTATATGCTTCAGGAGTATGCGTTGATCATTGCCTTGCTCTGCTCAATCCATCAAAGAACCCTATCACCAACTCGAAATGCTATACAACCCTACCTCATGTTACTAACTCCACAGTTTGGTGTCATCGATGAATTGACCAGCATCTCTTTCTCGAGCTACAAATACACTTGGAGGTTCTTCTTTTACCACATGTGATGGTCAGAAGCGCGGCTCTGTGTATCGTCGAACATGCCTCCCAAAGTACAGAAACCCCAGAACTGGACGTTCACACTGATCCATGCGGCAGTCTCTGAGAGACGCCACCGTGAGAAAGACTGGTTATGCACATCCAGTGTCGAAAATGCCGTCCTTAACTTGAAACAAGAGATACTTCTCGCAGATGCTATGGGATCCCGAGGAAATGTCAACAGGGAGCCAAATCATGTTCTCATTGTGCCGAGACAAGGGGCGCAGGCTGTAAGTCGCCTCATAATCTGGACAGCACGTGCTAATCGACAGAATGAAGCTTAAGCTCGGGCTTGGAAGTCGAGATGGAGCTATTCCAAGAGACGCCGAGTACATGCTGGGATACTGCCCCGGGGCCAATATCTTGGTCATTAGAGAGAGCCTCCGCAGCGTACGTCTACATTCTATGTCCATATCAGGGATGTCTGCTAACCTCTATAGATCGATCAACAGATTCGTCTGAGATTCAAAAGCCAGGGTGATACAGACCAAGTACTAGGCCTTTTTCAAAGCCTCGGCTTTCAGGCTAGGCCGATGCAATCATCTCGTCGTCAGCCCACTCCACTGCAGCAATTTCGGTCATCCTCGGTTGCAGGCGACTTTCAAACTTCTGCTACGACTCAGCCTTACTCCTCGAGGCATAAAGCAAGTTTGATGCGACAAGACTACCGAGGTCGGTTGGGCTCGCCTGCAGGGATCCAATTTCTTTCGGAAGAAAACCACTCGATATCTCGAGCCAGTAGTGTAGCTGCGCAGACATACCGGCCTTTAACGTCCGTCAGTCAACGCGCAGGGTCTATTCACCAGTCCTCAAATGGGTTTGGGACATCTCACACCTTCAACCGATCTGGCACTGCATTCACAGAGATACCGAATGAATACGTATCGCAAACAGCTTCGCCGAATACAGAGTACAGGTCCGGGGTCCCTACACCTTCAACGAGTTCTCACCGACGGCCATCAGTACGCTCACCGCCAGCTTTGCAGGACTTCCGTAATTGGAATTTCAGTCCATCAGCTGATGAAGTCGCTTTCGCCAAGTACGACGAACAAACGACAAGGCCTAGATCTAGCACCCAGATTCAAGACATGCTTCCTCCCCGCCGTCAGCTTCCATTCTCAGTCGGAAGTAGGGCAGAGAACAAGGTTCATGAAAGAAGTACCACGCAATTGGGTACCACACAGCCGGAGACTCTAGAGCACAATCAAGAATCCCAGGGTGTGAGAAAAGAGGGACAAATCCTCAGACTTCGTACATCAGAAAACGAACCTATTGAAGTCCAAGGATCGGCGGAGCGAGGTAATGGAGCGCAGACGACAAGGATCAATTTTGTCAAGAGAAAAGAAGCCGATGTGACCGACAATTTATCTTACAAGAAGCAAAAGTGTTCTTCTCAGACGACGTTGATTTCCACTTCGCCGATCCCGCGGCCAGCCATTTCGTCTGCTCATTTCCAACGCAGAGCGCTGTCACGGGATCTTAGCCTGGCCACCGGGCATGAGCAACAGCCATCGTCAGGAGCTATTGAGAATGGCGGTATCAACCAGGGGGTAAAAAATGCGGCTGATTCTGCATCGGTGAACACAACGCATTCTGCAGAGATTGATGTTGTGAGACATGCCCAAGGTACAATCGGCAGAGGGTCGTATAGTATGGATGCGCCTCCGACTATGTCGGTGGAAAGAGTCGACCAGGCTCCACCAATCCGTGCCTTGATACCAGTACAGTATACAGACAGAATCGATGCCAGCCTCGATTCGACGCGGCCGGTATTGACGAGTATGGACCATAGCACACAAACAGAGCCTACTCCCTCCGGCTCCTCGGAAAAGGAGGAAGAACTTTTCATCGCAAGATTCAAACTGATGTGGGATATTAGAAATTTACACCAAACATCTTTCCATCGTTTGCTCGACACTTCTAAACCGAACCATCGCATAAACGAAAAGGAAGCTTTGGAAGAGTTGGAGCAAGGCGCTATCGATCTCTGCCAGGTCGCGATTGACCGCTACGGTCCTGAAGTGGGCGATATACCGTATGAGAAGCTCCTGAAAACTATCATGGTTCCGGGATACTGAGCGAATTTGATGTTGTATGAGGCAAGATGATTCTTCGGGGAGCGACTGATTTTGCTTGACAGGAAGGATTCTGAGGGTGTTGAAATAATGGCATATGGTGCGGGTATGAAAGATGCTACGAATTGGAGTCAGGCAGTTATATCACATCATGGTGCGAGTCAGTTAATGAGAACGTGAGAATTGTGTATCCTATGCTATAATAGAACTGACGATTCATCTCTTGGCGAAGATCTGCATACCGCCATGGAGCAATCTCTCTTATGATGAAATACCATCTAAGCCCGCGAACTCAATGCATCTCCCTCATCCTTCGCTTTCTCTAATACTGTCCGTCGATGAGAGTGGTGGTATTCAACTCGACAGTTCTCAGTACATCGCAATGTCTCCTGTTTTTCGCATCCTATAGTTCTACAGCGTCCTATAGACTATCGCAATAGCTGCAGTCTAAGGCTATTGGCGTTGTGTGATGTGTGTTCCTTCCAAGGAGTGATGAAGGGCGGTGGAAGTTGGAGTTTGACTCTAGCCCATGACATCAGCCTTCGAAGACACCAGCCCCCGAAGTCACCAGCCCTCGAAATCCTCGCTACCTTGATCTCTTTCATGCAGCCGTCATCATGCTCATGCGTCAGTTTGCGTCTCACCCATCTCAACGGGTTGGCAGTGAGCGATCAAGAAAGTGAACCTTTTCCCCTGCAATACGTTGAATACCGTCGACTTTGTCGTGATGTTCAGCTACGACGGCGGCCTCGACAAAGTCCTCTCATCCTGTTAATGACTTATCGAGCAACGGATTCTGCGAGGATAGATCGGAGCAGCACTATCCCCATTCAAGACCGTTTCAAGCGGTCATGAATCTCTGGGGAGGAGGGAACGACAATGCGCATCGTTCACTTGTAGTGGTCCTTCTCATCCTCGGGAAATCTCAGCTCCACTACGGGCAACTCGTCAGGGTACTCGATGTCCGAGTAGTTGAAGTCGACATATGTCACCCGTTCGGACACTCCGTTCACCCAGTGGGTGACGGTGTACTCCGAGATCAGGTCAGGCTCGGGCCGGTCAGAAAGCGCGGGAGACGAGGACCAGTCCGAGCCGTTTGGAGAGTCCCAGACGAGCGTGGTGCCGTCCAACGACCACGTGGTGACGGTGGTGGCATCGTTGTCGTTTACGAGGGCGATGTCGGGGCCGGGGTGATAGCCCCCGTCCGAGGAGTCGTCGCCGTCGCTGTAGTATCCCATGGTGGGGTCCAGGTCCTCGGAGTCATCCTCGTATTCGCTGGTGTATACAACGAATCTGTCATTGACGGAGTCGCCATTCTCGGAGGAGCTGTCGGTTTCGACGACCTCTCTGTAGTCGAAGACTTTGGTTCTGGTGTCTTTGATACAGTCGGCCATCTCGATATGTATGTACTCGCTGTAATCAGCCATTTTGATATCGTCTTCTTCGACATAATCAGACATTGAGATGTCGCTGTCGCTGTCACTGCCGCTGTCTTCACCACAGTCGGCCATTACGACGTCCAAATCTTCGTCGTCGTACTCGGCCATCTCGATATCGCTGTCCTCGCTGATATCCGCCATCTCGATATCGTCTTCTACGAGGTAATCAGACATCGAGATGTCGCCGTCTCCGCTATAGTCGGCCATTAAGATGTCCTCATCTTCGCCGTCGTATTCGGCCATGATGATGTCGTCGTCCCCAGAACTACTAATGGGAGAGGCGTCGGCTATAATAATATCGCCATTCCTAGAAGATTCAAGGGAAGAGGCGTCGGCCATGACGATATTATCATCGGCTTTGGAGCAGTCACTGCCAGACTCACTGTCGGTATCGTCCGCGCTAGGAACGAACATATAATCCTTGTAGCCATCTTCAGAGTCGCTCTCGCCGACGACACACTCCTCGCCCGAGGAGTACCCGCTGTCTGACTGCCTGGAACTCCAGGAGCGAGACCGGGCGTACCTCGCCCTCGGGCCGGGCGAGGACCGGGGCCCGCTCCAGAGGCCGACATCAGACTCGTGCTTGTAGCGAGGTGAGTCTGTGTCGGGGCAGATGCGGTACTCCTCGGCGTTCAGAGGGTATTCGTCGTTGATGACGCCCTCGATAGCAGAGGAGAATGAGGAAGGGGGGGAGGATGGGATGTTACTTTTACTCTTTGAGATGGCAATCGAGTACAAGACTGGAGTCTGCCGCTCTGCGTTGGGCGGGGCGTTGACGCCGATTCTGGTGGTCCAGCTGCGGGATCTGCGGTACTTTGCCTTGGGACCGGGAGAGGAAATGGGGCCGTCTGTGAGAGTGAGGGTCCAGTCGTGGCGACGCTTTGCGATGCGCTGCTGGAGGTTCATGGTTGAAGTGACAGCGTTTGTGGCCGTGACCGGGGCGGTAGTCTCGAGAGCGGAATTGTTGTTGACGATGTTGCGAATGGACTCCATTTACCCTCTTGATACTTTGATCTTGAGGTTGAGTGAAGAGTCTGGTCGCTGGTAGGCAGGGCCCTGTGTAAGTGGTTGGGGGGGTAAGTGTGGTATAGCAGATATGTATAGCAATTCCTCAAGACGATAATCTGTATGAACAGTACTCAATGAGGATGTGAGTGAGATGTAAATGGGATGTAGAATGGAAAGGATGCCAGTAATGATGGGAAAGAGGCTACTTCTTATAGGATTCTCATCATGAGATGGTGCGAAGACCGGGCAATCAGGGTTCGAAACCGACTTCGTTCTGGCACCTTTCTAACTTCTGAAGCCATCGGAAATAGCTTCCCGGCACGGCCAAAGTAAGGGAGTTATCGTGAGTTTTGACCCGTAGAGGTTGTTGATCCATCAAACCTCACATTTCCCATGGTTCGCTTTAGAAGAGACTTCCCGTCTAGCTAGGGCAGTGCGAAAGAAATGGAAAATAGCCTCCCACTCTGGACGAGTAGTAGCCTGTATGGCAAGGACAACGGGATATTACATTCATTCGTGAACCTGGCAGGATGCCAGCCATCCCGGGTTGTGTTGGCGGATCCCCTTACGGAGACAAGTTTCATGGGCGTCAAAGTTTCTCTGCTTGGTTGAAGGCTGCGGATTGGTATCGGACTATAGCATGGGAAAGCCAAGGTGCTTACAGCTATGTGTAGGCCTGGTCGGCTGAACAGGAACCCCTGGTCTTGTCTTGGGATAGTGCTATTCATCACACCATGGCTGCTGGATTGAAACCGATGGACGAGGATGACTCGAGGGGTCTGGGGTAGGATCTCATATCAAACCACAAGAAATCACGACAATCAAGTCACCATAGCCAAGAGGGCACCATGACAATTAGGGACGCAGAATCTCAATTCTCTTGTTCCCAATGCAAGTAGTGAGCGCCAAGGATACCAAGCCCGACGAAAGCCCCTATCTCTTCCATGCCCAATACTTTTTGTTCCGCTAATTCTAACATACAACTCCTCGCCCCCCCCCAAAAAAGTCGCTCAAGCAAACCCAAAGCCTTGCGCGTTCTCCAATGCCATGGAAAGCCTCTCTCTCAGGACATCTTTATCTTTGTACTCTGGCAGCAAAAGCGTACCGTAACAAGTGTACGCGGTGGGCAAATGTCCGCCCTCGCCCTCCTCCTCGCCGTTTCGTTGAACGACAAATTGCATATTCTTCATGCCGCCGACGGGCACACGGTCCGACGCGGTAACAAACTCCAGCAGCCGCCTCTTCATCTTCTCGTCGTAGCGCTTAACAATCGACCAGAAGTCTCGGACGCCGCGGTGGGTCGCGTCCCAGCCGACATATCTGGTGTATCTGCGCAGTTCAGAAATGTCAATCTCCTGGACGCCCTCCACGAGGGATTGGAGAAGTGGCGGAGTCAGAAGCCCGAGTGCCTTGGGATGCAAGCAAGCTCGGAACCCACGCTCGAACGCTTCGTACTGCGGGGCAACGGAAACATCCGTCAGGTATTTGATGTAGTCGCTGACGTACACATTCCTGTTCTCGTTGGTGACGAGCGGAGCATCCTCGGGATTCCCGTCCACAAGCGACGTCTTAGCAGTCGCCTCGAACTGTGGCCAGCTGCTGGCCTTGCCATCCATCTCCCGAGAAATGGGCTGTCCAAACATGGATACGGAAAATTCATATGTGCGTGCGAAGACGTCTTCGACAAGACCCTGTTTCTCGTCCCATTCAAGCAATGTCGTCAGTCCCATTGCGAGGTCTGGCCATCCGTCGGCGATGTGATGCAACTCATCCACAGGCTCACCTAGGAGCTTGCGGTAAAGTGCCTTAGGAAATGTGATGGGTAGCGTCAGGCCGTTATAGACAGCCAATGACACCAGCAGACCAAGGATCTCAAACTTCCAGGCTGGTACAACGGAGCCTGGGACGAACCAGGTCATGCGGGTCCGGTCGTCAACCGTGAAAGCGCCATGATCGGGATTGAGACACTCAGCAACAGCAAGCCGGAAGAACTCCTGTTGAACTCCGCCCGAATCGAATCCCTCTTCGCCACCTTCCTCGCCAAGATGGATCTTGAGCGGTCTATGCAGCTCTCTTGCTTCTCGCCGCCAGAGTTGATCGAAAGCATCCCTGATGACGTTCTTACGACTAATCTCGAGGATCAAATATTTTGAGGAGGCTGTTTTAAGAAGATCTTGTAGAACAAGTTTGTGATGGGGATTGGTAATGAGGCCTCCGGGAGCAACAATCGCTTTCATACGTGTTTGGAGCGAGCTCGATTCCTCATAGCTTCGGCTCATCTTCGAGAAGTTGATGGATCGGAAGTAAGAAACCAAGGCAGATGGTTCAAAGATGAAGGGGAAGTCCAATAGGTGCTTCTTCTGTCTCGAGGAGGTATGGGTGAGCCAGGCGACAGGCATATTGATCGAGTCCAGCCTCTCGGCAAAGTAATCCACGCGAAATTGAGTGTCTCCGAGAAGCAAGTCTTGTCGTTTTTCGTCTAGTGGGGCGGTTAGTTGAGTGAAAAGTCTCACGTGCAATAATTTAAGAACTTACACATAGCAGCAATTAGTGACAACGCTCCACCAAAGGAGCTATCGTATGAGATTTCAGGCTGGCCATCCCATTGCTGAAGCATCACCGTCTTGGCCCAGTCTAGAAGTAGCGTAGAAACCCTGGACTCGTGGCCAGCTCGCTCGAGCTGTCCCACCCCAGGAGTAGAAGATGAGTACGAGTTAAGTAGGTCAAGTTGAGACAGAAGGGGTCGAAGGGCGTCAAAGTCCTCCTTGTTGTCCTCAAGGTCGTCGTCTTGCGCAGCCATGTCTGCAAAACATCTACGGGCGGATATGGCGGCGAACAAACGCCTCGCCAGCCTGAGTGCCAAATCGTTCGAGAAGGCATCCTCATACAAAAGGCAGAGCCAAGCTGGCTGCCGCGCGAGAGCACCGCTTCCGGCAAGAGTAAGTCCATTAGAACGGATCCGTGACATGTCGAAAAGGATTCGGGAGTCTGTAATCAATGGGGCCGCGGCCACCAACGCATGGAGGCATATTGACAAGAGCTGGCCTGCTTCGACATTGGCAAGAGATCGATCGGTTCGGCGGAACACTCTGGTAGCAGGGGAGCGAAGGGATTGAAGTGACTTGGGTGCTTTGAACAGGCTCCCGGCCGCCATCCACAAACTGTGAAACACCAGGCTTGGAGCCACTCGAGTGAGTCTCAGCATGCAGTACCATATGGTGTGGGAATCGAGCAACTCATCGTCCTTAACAAAAGATGCGACTAAGCTAACGGGGTCGCTCAATATATTGAATAGACTTTGCTCAATAAAAAGCTTCCACTGTCTCCGAAGTTTCTTTGGGTAGGTGGCTCGGGAGCTCTGCTTCCTCTGCATTCTGGAAGCCCGGTCCTTGAGTGTGGTGTACGTGCTGGTAATCCTTGGGGGATCAAGCAGGTGGGACTCTGATGTACCGTCATCCTGGAGAATGTCGCATACGAGATCAACTACCTCCACGTTGAGTACTGTCAGGGATTGTGGGAGCAAGCTGTCGGCAATCGATACCTCCAGCGGGTCTTGATTCTGTTTCGCATCTTCAACGGAATTTGCAACCCGCAAAGGTTGAGCTTCTGAGACCGGCTCATGGGCAGCGGGAATCTCTGCTGTTTGCGGTGGTTTGCTGTTGGCGTGGTTTGTACTGGGTATTGAGTCTGGTTCTTGGACAATCGCGATGGCGTGCTTTTGAGGCGGTACGTTATCAAAGAATGATGGTGTTGAGGGTATTTCTGGAATGGCGTAAGGGTTGACATGAGACGTTTTTGGTGGCCGTAGAGGTTTCTCATGTACTCCTCCGTTCAATCTTGGGGAGGACAACCCGGACGTGACGTCTTCGGGCAATGAAGATGTCGGGTACGGCTCGATAGAGAGTTTCCTGCTAGGCTTCGAGTTGGCCCGCACCCTAGTACTTGAACTTCTCTTAGGTTTGTTAGGCCGTGAGCTGGGCATCGTTGCACTTGAATTATGCAGTGTCTGTGACCCCTGAGCGAAGACTGCATCCGGTCCTTGGTCCGTGGTCGACTGAGAGAGTTCGCCCGGATCTTTCCTCTCTGCCTGGGTCATGGGAGGCGTCGACTGCATAGGCGTCGACAGGCCTGATGGGTTGCGGAACATTTGCGGTTCTTCTTTGGAGGGACTTTGTGTCGCCTCTGCCTCCAATGCCGCGACTTTTTGGGACATGGCATCCAGGCCAGCTGGCGTGAGCCATTCCAACATCTTAAAGGCGACGGTCCCAAATACGTTGGCCGCAAAAGAACGGTAATCCTTATTGACGGGTCGTTCAGCGACCTTAAATGGAGGATGTGCAGTCCCTGTTGCCGCATCAAAATGCGAGCGTTCGTGCGTGGAGGATATTGTTGCTCGACGACCAATCTCCTCGGTACCCTGGGCAGCCCTCAGAGAACTGCCATTTTCGCCATTTGCCCTGGCGCCCGAACCTGACTTCCGCCTTCTACTATCCCCCGATGTACCGGATCGCTTCGAAAAGGGGTCGCTGAATGCTGGAGGCGCGGGGTTGGAGGAAAATATGAGCGAGCTCAGGGCGGCCGGTGTTTCTTTCGGGGGGTTAAGGTAGGGGCAGAGCCCAGTCTCTGGATTGTCCTGGCTGGCCAGGTACACTGCCAAGGTTCTTGCGCTCGTGATGTTGTATCTGCGTATTGGCGCTTTGCCTGCGAGGCGCTTGCGACAGGAGAAGCAGGTCGAGGTTGTACATGACTTGGAGTCACATCCGTACCGTAGCTGTTGGACGTATCTGGTTAGGGGTTCATTAGTATGGAGGACACACAACGGAGGTTGAATAACCGTTGAAGACGTACGTTTCGACAAGGATCTGGAAGTTGTGCCGGCGACTGGCGCGGTGGATGGCGTAGACGCGCTTCGGGTTCTCTATGATCTGTACCATGTCCTTCAGTTCGGGCGGCGCATCAGACGGCAGGCGCGCGAGAGGCGCATCTTCCCAAAGGCCGGCTAGAAGTTCAGCATCGAGGCCGGCTTCGGTCTGGGGGCCCTTCTCAGGACGTCGAACGTCTCGAGTCATGTCATCCGGATCGAGAGAGTTCTGGGGTATCTGAGGTCGAAATTGAACGAAGTAGCTAGCAGCGTAGAGGACCAGGAAATGCGCGCGGCAGGGAGCGGCTAGCGAGGAGAGGAGTCGAACAGAATAAGAGGGAACGCAGAGGCGGCTTCGTTGTCGTTGACGTCTATTGGTACACGGATATTACAACCAGTAGTGAACAGTTGGAACAAGTAGAAATACGTTGGCGATGAATGAACAGCCTTGACCCGATGACGGGCAGTGGGTATGGCAAGTAGGTGGATTAGGATAGCTCAATGTCCCGGTCGTCAGTGTTGGAGGAGAAACTGGGCACCGTATGGCCACGCCACGAGGCTCGGCGATGACACGGTGCGATTCGATGAAAACGGGGCACGGCTTCCGGGGTCCTTCTGGAAGAGTGGATACGGGAAGCACGGGAGCAGGCAATCAGAACATGGAGGATTCCGCAGAGGGTCCCAATTTAGCATGCGAAATTCCACTGGCAGACGCGCAAGTTGCGATCAAAGGACGAACCAGGGCAGGGTACTATAGAGCCTAGGGTCTTCACCTACGAATACGGAAGGGATGCCTCGTGGTGTTTCTGACATCAGCCGCAAGGTTGCCGTCTTCAAACGCCCATTCCAGTCTCGGCAAGGTCGGCGGTTTCTGCCTCCGACTTTCTTTCCTTTTTTTTCACCCTCTGGACCCAGCAGAGGTGCCCGCGCCGCCGTCGCCGCCCGGTTGACCCGCTCGAACCCCTCCATCGTTGTTCATGGCGGGCCGATGTTTTGCAGACAGGGTAGCGCGTAACGGTGAATTAGTCATTCGAGTTTCCATGCAGTAACTATCTCTAAGTGTGGCGATGGGTTATTTCATCAGTTCATAGCAGTGTGGTGGGTACTTTTGTTGCTTTTGTATGTGTCTGTTTCTTTAGTATCTTAGTCAAAAATCTCTAGTCTTCAGCTTAGATCATATCCTGGTCTCCGCACTCGTTGGGCTTGAAGTTTGTTGTTACATATTCATCGAGATGCCCAGATCGAGGCTTGCATTTGTGGCGCAAGCCCGAGAGGCACGTTATCAAAGGTATTGTAGGTACTTCCATAATAAAGGCTGTAACTCTAAATTGCGCGGGACGGCGACACCTTATCCCCAAAACGGTGACATGTAGACTTGCTGGTGCTTGAGGTGACAGTTTGCCCCCCTACTAAGTATCCATGCGACCTGCCTCATCTTTCTTGATATGTCAGCCGGCGAGACAGAACAAGACAGAAGCCAAAAAGAAAGCATCAGACTTCTCAGTCGAGGTTCTTTGCAGGTCCGGTGCTTCGGGAAGGAGAGAATTACTGTACAGGCCCCCACTTGACAGGGCAGCAACTGCCAGGAACATGCTAAGGTAAGGGAAATCTCGAGGCTTTCCAGTGGTACAACTTCTGAGGGACAGCCCAGCCCAAGGGCCCTAGACTGCAAGTGACGTGCCTATCACGTCCCTCCAAACCCCCGCCTAACCCACTAAAGCCCTTGCGAATTTTCCCTTTTAAAATCATTTTCCCCTCCATCCCGCCAGACTTTGACGCACTGCACACAGAGGGACGCCCATCTTTTGCCTCCTTCACCTCTCTTTCTTTTGCGCATCCTTCAAATTCACGTTTGCGCGCAACAAACCTCCCTATTCCAAACAATCAAACACATACACAAGCAACCTTTGAGACAAAAATCAAGCAAAACCCACCACTTTCGCACACGACATTCACCATGGCGAGCGTCGATGTTGCTGCCCTCGGCGCCGTTCCTGCAAATGGAGGGGCAACGGCGGCTTCCCACCCTTACACCTGCAACACCTGCTCTGTTGCCTACCGAAACATCGATCTTCAACGAGGCCACATGAAGAGCGACTGGCAGTATGTTACTCTCATTTCCCTCCTTCCTAGAGTCGTTCCCTCTGTTTTCTAGGCTCGACCTGTCGTCATGTTTCCGCTGTGTTCCGCTCAGACCAACTGACATCATCTACCCAGTCGATACAATCTCAAGCGAAGAGTCGCCTCCCTCCCTCCTATCGCCTCCGAGGTCTTCAACGAAAAGGTCCTCCAGGCTCGCGCCGTCCAGACCGCCGAGGCAGAGAAGGCCCTCTTCGAACGCTCCTGCGACGCCTGCCAGAAGTCGTATTCGAGCGAGAACGCCTACCAGAATCACTTGACCAGCCAGAAGCACAAGGTCCGTGTCGCTGCTATTGCTAGACGCAAGGGCGGTGTCGCCGATGATGCCAGCTCCGTCATGAGCTCCACCTTCTCTCTCGGTGAGCCCATTGCCGTCGACAAGGAGAGTGAGTTGGATTCCGAGGCCGAGGAGGAGTTCACTCAGGTTGTCGAGGGCCTCAAAAAGACCAACATCCACGAGTCCCACGGCGAGCGCCCCTCACCAGTCAAGCGCCCTTCCAACCCCCACCTGTCTGCTCAAGGCCAGCGTGACGATGTTTCGATGAACCGCGACTCCGAATCTACAACCCCCGTGCAGTCAAAGCCAGAGATCGCCTGGACCATCAAGTCTTGCTTGTTCTGCAACTACGAGTCGCCCAGCGTTTCGCTCAACGCAAACCATATGGAGCGATTCCATGATATGTTCATCCCCGAGAAGCAGTACCTTGTTGACCTGGATGGCTTGCTTCAGCATTTGCAGGAGCGCGTCCACGATGGCCACCAGTGCCTGTACTGCTTCAAGACCAAGAAGACGGCCTTTGCTGTGCAGACTCACATGCGTGACAAGGGTCACTGCAAGATTCCCTACGATACGGAGGAGGTTCAGCTCGACATTGGTGATTTCTACGACTTCCGAAGCACCTACTCTGATGGCGAGGAGTCAGACGAGGAGGAGGAGGCTGATGAGAACGGTGGAGCCAAGTTGGGTCTGAAGCGCCCGACTAAGTTGGTTGGAGAGGACGGCGAAGAGGTTGAGGAGGGTGGAGATGATGGCTGGGAGACGGATAGCTCGGCCTCTTCACTTGACTCGGATGAGTTGACGGCCTTCACCGCGGATGGCAAGTATGAGCAGTTCGAGCGCCTTGACAAGCACCCTCATCACTCTACCAACGATCCGCGTGCCCGCCATCAGGCCGATGGCTGGCACTCACACGCCCACAAGCACACTCGTGCGGTCTTCTATGACGAGTACGAGCTGCACTTGCCCTCTGGCAAGGCAGTTGGCCACCGCTCTCACAACCGATACTTCAGACAGAACCTCCACAACTACCCTACCGAGGAGGAGCGCGCCGAGCGTTTGGCCATCGAGGCTGGCTCTGGCTCTGGCTCGGGCGATGAGATGGACGTTGATGGTAGAGAGGTCGCCACCACCGGCGATCGCAAGACTCGCAACCGTGCCATCGCCCGCAGAGACGCTGCAGGCATGGCTGGTGCGTCTGACAAGCAGAAGCGCGTTGTTAGACAGGAAGAGGTCAGAGGCCGGAGCACTGCCACTCGTCACCAGAAGCGCTACGACTACGGAGTCAGCGAGAAGCTGAACAACCAGAAGAACTTCTACTACCGCTACCAGGCCGGTGGTTGATCAACTCGCCAGTCGTTTCTGGATGAACAAGGCGTTTGGGCGGATTGATTTTGTATGTTACTAAATTACATTGAACCTTCAAAGGAATTGACATGCATGATGAGGCTTTGATGAACCATGCATAAGGAAGGTAGAATAAAAATAGAGGCTATTACTGCCACAAGATCGCAGAGATTTTTGAAGTGAGGTGATGTTAGTTGTGACATCTTATTAGCGGTAGGGGTGGCAACTGTGGGGGTTTCGCGACTGACTATGCATATAACGAAACGTCTCTATGCGTTTGTTGCATTATCCTAAGCAAACTCGGACCTCCACATACCTTCCATCATCTCCTGAGTTCTCCCATCCATAAGTGCCACTTAATTCCATTGGCAATGTATTTCAAATTTTCGAAACAGTAACCTGGTACTCATATTTGGACTGCGGAAATGCTCAAACAAATATGCAACTGCCGTGCCGTCGCTCAGCGGCGACTCCTGACGTCGCAGCGATGGATGAGCAGCAGGCCGACTTACAACGCATGGTTACCCCAACCAGACGCTGACGGTTGGTACGATGGGCGGAAACACCCAAGACGACTGGAAGACTTCGACAACGGGAAAACTCGCGCAAGAGAGGACCAGCGCGCCCGGGAGAACACAAGGCTCTCGCCCCCTCCTCGGTTGGGCGGCGCACCCGCTAGACGGTCAGGCAACGACTTCAGCTCAAGAAGCTCTGGTGATGCGCCTCATAATGAACGTGGACGGGATGAAAGGTTTTCAACATCATTGTCGAGGAGGAGTCTTCCACGGCCAAGGAGGTCACATAGGGACGATGGACCGCCGACACCCAAGCGGAAGGGCGGTGGTTTCGTACTGATGGTGAGTTGAAGCATTATCACTCTTCTCTCCCCCAAAAAGGGTCCATACTTGGAGCACCTATACTGACATCCGACCAGCCGAAACTATCTCAAGAAGAACTGGACAAGATCAGCAAACCCAAGGACGTCTGGGAAGCCAGATCACTCTATTTTGTCCCCCCCAAGAGATCAAAAGAGCACCAGAAACCCATACGCCAACCCAAACCGCCCAGACCTGAACCCTCTCGAAGGAACCGCGACGCAGCAGCCATGATCGCCAGCCCAGACGCCATCAAAGCCGCAATTTCAATTTCAGAAAAGGACCTCCGCTTAGCGCGGAGACCGCCCCCACCCCCACCAGAAATCGAACTCGAGGGCGACGGTGGCAGCCTCGTCGCGGACCCCATCACCAACGACGACGTCCTCCCGCACGCCCTCGCCGCTCGGTTCTTCCTCTCGCCGCCCGCGACGTTCCTGTACTCGGCCTTTCGGCTGAAGCACCACCCGCTCAACACCACCACGCCCGAGATCTGCGTCGTCGGCGCCAGCAACTGCGGGAAATCGTCCTTTATCAACGCCCTCACCGGTGCGGCGTCGCTCGCCAAAGTGAGCGACCGCGCGGGCAAGACCGTCTCCATGAATGCCTACGGCGTGGGACCCCTGACGGGCCTTCCTTTCCGTAAACCAGTCGCCTCCCCTTCTTCTTCTTCTTCCTCGTCCGAGGGCGGCGGCGTCACAAAGGAAGAAAAACCAGAACACGGCATAATCCTTGTCGACACCCCAGGCTACGGCTACGCCTCTCACGAAGAATGGGGCCGCGAAATCGTCGAATACATCAACAAACGCACCATGCTTCGCGGCATCGTCCTCCTCCTCTCCTCCGAGAAAAAAGTCTCCGAGAAGGACGCGCAAATCATTAAACTTCTCGCCGACGCCGGTCGGCCCGTGATGCTCGTCTTCACCAAAATGGATAAAGCGCTCTCCCGCAAGGCGCGCGAGGAAGGCGGCATCGCGCAGCGGTTACGTGAGGCGGAGCGGTGCTTCGCGAGGACGGGTTGGGATGGGTGGGTGAAGAGGGTGTACATCACCGCGGCGCGGATGGAGCGCGATAAGAGCTGGAAGGTGGACGAGGGCACGAGGAGTGGTGCGGCGGGGATGGCGGGCGTGAGGATGGGGGTTCTCGAGTTGGCGGGCGTGAGGGAGTTTATTGCGCCGGAAAAAGCCAGCAAGATGGTCGCTCAGCGGAGGGCGTCGCAAAAGTCGCAAAAGACACAACAGAAGGGAGGAGGAGAGGAGGAGGAAAAGAGGTTGGAGCCGGGTAAGGCTTTGGAGAGTGATCCGGCGGCGTGGTCTGGAGATGTGGTCTCGTTTGAGGAGCTGGAGAAGAAGTTTGGAGACTGGAGTTCGTGAGCGGTCAGAAGACGAAGGACTTTTTGTACGATCATGTTTGTAGAATAGTGTGCTCGATTGTATTAGAGAAGAGAGATACCCTCTAGAAAGAAATGCAACTCATTGTCAGGCATGCAGAGAATGGACACGCGAGGTTAGAAAGGGAATGTTCAGCGACGTTATCAGGGTAAGGCACTTCACTCGTAAACTGCGGGAGGCCCCATTGATGAACCAACGCTTCAGACAAGTTCCATCATATGGGTATTCTGGCTAAGACAAATTGCAGATAGGCCTTCGTTGACCATGAGACATTCCCTCAGAACTCCTCCTTTCCTCCGTTCCAATATGAAATCCCAAGTGAGTGACACAGAAAATCAGAAAATGGGTGCAGGCCTGTTGTCCACTACTACTCCTTCTCCTTCTCCTTTTCTTTGTCTGCTCCCGCGCCCGAGACGGTCGAGCGCGCCGTGCCCGGCCTGCTAAGCTGCCGACGAATCTTCTTCGCGTTCTTCGACTCAAACAGACTCTTGACCCTCCTAAGGCGCGCCCAACGTTCCTTGTCCTTCGCTTCCCTCGACTGTTCGTCCTCATCGCCAGCTGGCTCGGTAGCAGCGCTCGGCGAATCGTAACCCCCAGGTGTCGAGGGTGCTGCAGCGCCCCTACGCACAGGTGTCGACGGCACCGAGGCGCCTCTGTTATGCCACGTCGACCTGTTCTTTGGCCGGTCATCCAGCGCTCCGCGAAGGTAAGCATCATTCTTCAGGACCTGCGTCAGCAACTTCCAAGCCGCCAAAGTCGTGTCTGAGCCGGGCTTCGCGCTACCCAGACGTTGCGCCACAGGGTTCTTCCAAGGGCAGAAGAAACGGTGCTCCTTGACTGGATCAAGATGATCCATTGGCGCGGGAACGAGGATCTCGCCGTCGGCGCTGACCTCCTTGCTCTTGAACATCCATAGACCGAGACGTCGCAAGCACGTGTGGCAGGATGCCGAATTTGGCACCGCACCAATGCGGGGATTCGTGAGGCCCTGCCACCCCATCATTGCCAGAGCCAAAGCGACTCTGTTTGGCTCCTTTGGATCCGGAGAGTCCTTGGTTGGCGGTGGGCTTGTGAAGAAGTCTTCTGGCAGCTGGGCGAGGACGCTGTCGATGCTGAGACCCTCAGGTAGCCTCAAGTTGAACTCATAGGGAAGGAAGGGTTTCCTTGCACAGAGCTCGTCGTAACGTGTCCGCAAAGCCTCCATACTTATTTTGGCATTGGTTAAAGAGAGCCGGAGCAGCGAATCTGGGAAAGTTAGGTCTTAGTCTCGTCAATAGGGTCCGTAGACACTTACTATCGCACCCCTGTTTTCTCCATAAACATTCCTCCAGATGTGCCGTGACAATAAGATCGGAGTATCTTTCTATTAACGCTTCCTCTGCTTCACCAATCAGTTCTGAGTAGTATCGAGGGATGGCAACCATGAACCTACCGACATCTGACGCCACAAGGACAGGTACCTCCTTGCCATCAACTTCCCGTTTGTTGAGCTTCACAACGAGCTCCTTGTTGCAGAGCGAACACCGCACACGGTCCTTTCCCTGACATACCCATCCTCGCTTCGCCCATTCAACCTCGTTGACTGCATCGGGCTTCGGTGTCCAGTCTGTAATCTCCTGGAACGATGCTAGTCTCTTCAGGAGCTCGTTCCGGTCGCTGGGTGCAAACTTCGGGGCGTGCTTGATTTCCGTCACATTGGCAGACCTTGGAACCCACTTCTTCAGAGATACGTTCGAGAAGGTCGTTGTCGCACCTGCTCCGGTGGCACGAATCGAAGGAGAGCTGTTGATCGTAGCGGCATTCTTCTCGGTCAGTGCTTGCAGGCGCCGACGCTTCAACAAGATGTCCTCTTCAATCGACATGCTCGGTTTTACAGAGGTATCGACCGTTGTGTTCGTGTTTGTGGAATTCGTGTTGGAGGGTTGGAGGGAAGTCGTCGACGGACGAGGAGATTCGGAAGGCAAGCTCGTGGTGTCGTTCGATTTCGTAGAAGCGGATGATCTGCCCATACCCTGGATGAGGGCGTTGAACTTTCGTTTGGTAGCATTCATTGCCGCTGCGTGTTTCGATGTAACCGGGGTGGTGGATGTAAGGAAAGATGTCTGATCTGACCTGACCCCTGGCGCGAAGATCAAAGGACCAGAAAGAAGACGGCGACGCAGAAGGTCGGGCAATTTGGTTTCTTGTGAAAGATCGAATTCGGTTGTTTGGAGAGGTTTTCACTCAGAGTCCTTCGTTATTTGTGGTATGCTGCACCATTAGATGGATCTCCCAGGAAGAGGATGGCGCTCGGTCGCTAGTTGAAGCCTAGGCGCCCAGCTTTGCGAAAGTCAACAAACGGGCAGTCGCTGATCGGGCAATGAGCTGGCCACCCCTGTCGCGTGGATGCAAGCGCTAAGGTACGAGGCGTGGCAACGGGTTACCACTGGCGTCTGATGGATAAATGCATATAGCAGCTTTATGGACATTGGCTGATAAGATAAGAACTTTTCGCAATGGAAGTGAGAAAGGTCGGCATGAAAAAAAAAAGTTGCGAGCAGGGATCCCAGCACTAAAATTTTGGAGACACCGATCCGCCGGCGCAGAGATCCCACAGAAATTTTCCCAGGTGAGGGAAGACCCAAGACGATTCCATTCTCACCGAGGAATTTGCGACTCGCCGGCTCTTTCCACCTCCACTTACTTTGTCCTCTTCTTTTTCTTACCATTGCAACGGATAAGAGCCATCTCCTGGCCCAATACACATGTCTGCGCCTCCATCTTGGCTATTCTCCAACAACTTCACAAAAGCCAATAACACAAGCACTCCTACGGCTTCCGCGACAACGCAACCAGATAAAATGGCCAAGGTCAAGAAGTCCGAGAAGAAGGTCAAGGCCGAGGCCACCTCCACCAAGCAGGCTCCTCCTGCCCAATTGATGGACCTCGTCGACTCCTTCCTCTCCGAGAACGCCTTCACCTCCGCCCACGAGGCCTTCCAGAAGCAGCGCGCCAAGAGCGGCTGGAAGCCTTCCAAGAAGGAGGCGGCCCAGACCAACCTCGTTGCCGTCTTCCAGACCTGGCAGACTTCTTCCACCGCTCCGACCACCAGCGAGAGCTCTAGCGACAGCAGCTCGAGCGAGGATGTGGACATGGCCGATGCGGCAGCTGCCGCCGACAGCGACAGCGATAGCAGCTCGAGTTCCAGCTCCAGCTCCAGCTCGGATTCCGACTCCAGCAGCGACAGCGAGAGCGAAGATGAGAAGCCCAAGCCTAAGGCCAAGCAGAGCCTTAAGCGCAAGGCGCCTGAGTCCGACAGCAGCAGCAGTGATAGCAGCAGCAGCAGCGACAGCGACTCTTCCTCAGACGACTCCAGCTCTGAAGATGAGGCCCCCAAGGCCAAGAAGCAGAGGGTCAAGAAGGATGACAGCAGCTCCTCCTCCGACTCATCTTCCGACTCCAGCTCGGACAGCTCCAGTGAATCTGACTCCTCCTCCGACTCAGACTCTTCCGACAGCGACAGCGACTCCGACTCTGACGGCTCCGAGGCCGCAAAGGTGCCCCTTCCCGAATCCGGCTCCGACTCCGACTCCGACTCCTCTTCTTCCTCTTCCGACTCGGACTCCGACTCAGACGCAGACACCAAGAAGAAGGCCAAGAAGGAAAAGGCATCCGCCGACAGCGCCTCCCTCTCCTCCGCAACCCTCGAGAAGACGTCCCCCGAGCTCAAGCCCGCGACCTCCACGGCCGCCGACCCGCCTCTGCCCCCCGACCCCATGACCTACCGCGCCAACAACCGCGGCGGCAAGAAGGAGAAGAAGGAGCCCAACAAGCCCTTCTCCCGCATCCCCGACGTCGTCTACGTCGACCCCCGCTTCGCCAGCAACGAGTACGTGCCCAACGACTACTCGCAGCGCGCCCACGAGGACCTCATTGTCACCAAGGGCAAGGGCTTCACCAAGGAGAAGAACAAGAAGAAGCGTGGCGCCTACCGCGGCGGCTTGATTGACATTTCTAGCAAGAAGGGCATCAAGTTCGACTAAGGTCCGTTGTCAGTCACGGTTTTCTTGATGACATTCCCCCCACACACATGCATGTTCGGTTCTTGGAGTTTTGGGGGATCCCGAAAAAGATTTTTGGTGAAAGCAAAAAGGGGAGGGCTGGTTTCACTTTGGCATTGCGTTTATTACTTGGCTTCAGAGAGCTTCAAAGCATGATGGTTGTTTTATTCCAGTTCGAGAGGATGGAAGAAGACCAGAGAGGGAGAAAGAGCTTGGTACGCGGCATAATCACTAGACTCGAGATCAGCTCCCGCGCAAACGTTGGCCGTGTAGATAGAAAAAATCAAAACGTTATCTTTGACGTCCTTCTCATACGTCTGTCTCTACAATATTCGTGGTACTTTATGCAAGTAATCGGGGGTTAAGTGATCAATAAGTAAAGTACCCAAAGTCTGGCGGTACTTGACTGTGATGTACACCTCCAGGTACCAAACAAACAAAAGACATTGTCCAACAGAGAGCAAAATTCCCCTCACACAGATCAGGCTGAGATTAGTGACACAGAGAGCCCCCAGTGGCGCAGTGGGCTAATATAGGTTACGAGCACCAGGCTGCAGCCTGATCGATACCGTGTAATCGTGCCGTTTGTCCTCAGTGTCGAACCATTGGCCCGGATGGTCAGACTTTGAGTATAGCAACATTGCCTCCGTTCCCCTTGACGACAGCTTTTGATGAAAGGACTCGAAGAGCTCGCCCGTTCGAGGGGGTTCAAAGGGAAGGGGGTAAGGTAGGACACGAGAGACATTGAGACGAGATGAGATGAACGAGTGGGGGGGAACCAAAAGAAGAACTGAGGCGGCCCCGGGGCAAGGCTTCGGCGGAGGAGAAGTCCTGGTGACTGTTGGGTTCCGCGGCGGTCGATTTCTTGGCTGGGCGGAGGGAAGGGGGAGGAGAGGACGAGAAGGAGGGGTCGGGTATCATGTTGGCTGGCTGGCCCACTGC